TTGTGAAGGCAGATAGATGCTTACCCCTGCAGGGATCTCCTGAGTGTGGGCTAAAACGCCCCTAACCAGGCATAGTGGCAGCACTAGGAAAGCCGAGGTGGGTCTCTGAGTTCAAGGCCAGCCTGGTCTACAGAGTGAGTTCAGGGACAGCCAAGAGCTACATAGTGAGACCCTCTCTTGAAAAACAAACAAACAAAACAAAAAAAGAAAGAAAAGAAAAAGAAACAACTTCCTTGCTTTTGCACACGTTTTGTTCCTGGAACATAAAACCGTCCATCCCCTCTCCCCCGTGGCGGCCTCTTGTTCACCCTTACCCCGCTTCCTACTTCCCATCTGGCCCTGTCTTCAGGTGTCTTGTCAGAAGAACAGATCCGCTTGAAGAAACTGAAGCGGCAAGAAGAAGAGCAGACTCAAGCCACGTCGGTGTCCCCCAGGGTTTCCTCAGCTCCCCAGGTCCTGCCACAGCTCAGCCCGGAGCAACTGGGCATGATTGAGAAGCTGGTTGCCGCCCAGCAACAGTGTAACAGACGCTCCTTTTCTGACCGACTGCGAGTCACGGTACTTGATGACCCTGGGGCAAGGTGGCTGTGCCCGAGGCACCAGCTCACTTGATGCCTGACTCACAGCAATTTGCTTTTTTCCTCCCTTGCCCACCCCGAGTAGCCTTGGCCCATCGCACCTGACCCTCAGAGCCGGGAAGCCCGACAACAGCGCTTTGCCCATTTCACTGAGCTGGCCATCGTGTCTGTGCAGGAGATCGTTGACTTTGCCAAACAGCTCCCTGGCTTCCTGCAGCTCAGCAGGGAGGACCAGATCGCCTTGCTGAAGACCTCTGCGATTGAGGTGGCTGAAAGGGAATGGGATGAAGGGAGAACCAGAGTAGGCTTATCTGTAGGGGACCTCCAGAGATCCAGCTTGGAGAGTCCGAGCCATTGGGAAAGGGAGTCAACCTCCTTTCAAGGGCCACGTACCAAGAGCAGCCCCTTCGTGCCTATTTGAAAGCTGCTGCTTGTGTGCAGGTGATGCTTCTGGAGACGTCACGGAGGTACAACCCTGGGAGCGAGAGCATCACCTTCCTCAAGGACTTCAGTTACAACCGGGAAGACTTTGCCAAAGCAGGTAAGACCTAAGATGGCCAGGGCACTGGCGCTTGCCATCATGGGGCCCATCAGGATTAGAGAGCCGTGGACCTGAGGTTTGGGCGGTTATACAGTGAGGACACCACTTGTTTTTCCAAGAGAGAAGTTTGGGATGTTGATCAGTCACTTAACTGCTCCAGACCTCTGTCCACTGGCACATCTGAGGAGGTTTTGTAAGCATCTTCTTGGAGGAGACCAGGCCCGGCTGAGCGCGGGGGTGGGGTGGGGGGGTGTTCATTCTTGTTTTAACCAGTGAAGCTCTACTTAAATCTGCGTTGTGCTTCTGCTTAAAAGTTGAGAATATTGTATAGCTAAGAAAGCATTTTGAAGCCGGGTGGTGGTGATGGTGGTGCATGCCTTTAATCCCAGCACTTGGGAGGCAGAGGCAGGCGGATCTCTGAGTTTGAGGCCAGCCTGGTCTACAAAGTGAGTTCCAGGAAAGGCGCAAAACTATACAGAGAAACCCTTTCTCGAAAAACAAAACAAAACAGAAAGAAAGAAAGCGTTTTGAAAACCGCTGTATCAGCCTTTCGAGACAAAAGGAAGAAACCCTTTTCAGATAATGCTCTTTAAGATCACGCAGGCTCACTCGAGCCTTACTCTCTTTCTGTCCTCCACCCGGTGAGCTGAACAACCAGAGCTGAAGCATGATAAACGTGCAGAATGGGAGCGCTGTAGGATCAAATCCAGTGTTTCCTCTGGATCGGGTGGAATTGGTGCCGCTCGGTGCTAAGCAGTGGAAGGTTCTCTTATTCGGCTGTTGGGATGCTCATGATGAGGCTGGGGCTGGGGAAGGACACAAGTCTGGAGGAGTGGGCTGGGAAAGGGTGGCAGAAGTCTGGAGGAGACTGAGGAGACTCAGTTGGCAGCTGAGAGAGCAGGCTGTGAAATACAGCTAACATTGGGACTGTTCTCAGGGCCGATAGTTCAGAAAGCTTTCACTGGCGTCTGGTGGCTCAGGCTAACCCCTGAGCCCCTTGTCCCAATGTGGCCCTTCTAGGAAGGCCTCCCTGAACTGCAGGGGACGGCAAGGCTCTGTCAGCCCCGCTGCGCTTCTTTGTTTTTCTGAATGTCGGGGTACTTAGTGGGCAATATGAAGGTGCTGTCCAGACTTAAAACCAGCCCTGTCCCTCTTTCCCACCAAACACCCCTCAAATGGTTGCTGACTTAGACTTTCTTAACCCTTGCCTCTGTCAGGACACGCTCTTTTCCGAACCCTTCCTGTTCCTTCAGCACTCGTGGACTTGTGCTATCTGAATCTGCACCTATTTATAAGATTTCTTTATTTAAGCAGTTTTGATGTCATCATGTTTTTCATTTCTCATTTTATCAGTGTGTTCTTGAGAAAAAGGAACAGAAGGCTCTTTTTATTTTTTCTTTCTTCTCTTTTTAACCATTTTTTAAGGTTTGTCTATCTTGTCTCTCTCTCTCTCTCTCTCTCTCTCTCTCTCTCTCTCTCTCTGTGTGTGTGTGTCCTGCTTTTCTTTCCCCAGAGGCTCTGTTTTGTCAAGTCTCTCCCCACCCCATCCACTGCCATATGTTGTGTACAATGGCTGACTAATATGAACCAATCTCATGTGAGGGAATCCTCCAGCGAGCATTAGCAGACCCTCACGAGAGCACAGCACAATTCCAGAACCTTCTCTTTTTCTTTGTATGGGGGGCTTTTGAGCATATTTTGGAACTTAAAATTTCATCAAGAAATGCTCTATAAAATGAAGCTGGCCTATTGACTAGATCCACACACAACACTGGAGAGACATCAGGGTGAAAGTACAGGAAGTGACTCATCAAGAGACCTGGATGGAAAAGCGTAGCAGATGGCTGCTGAAAGAGATCTGAGAAAGCCTAGAAAACAGTGTGGGGTGGACACATTGACAATGCGAGGGAAGACATGTTCAGCAGGTGCCTGGCTATAGGTCAGGGGTTGTTGCATGCTCATTGTCTTCCCTGAAAGAAGACTGGCTGATTATTATTGGGTTTTGTTGTTGTTGTTGTTTTAAATGGGGAGACAAATAGGAAGATCAGCGGTTCAAGTCCATAGGCTGGAGAAATAGTGTGCATCTGTAACCCCTGTGCTGGGGAGCAGGCAGAGACAGGCGGATGCCCAGGGCTCAGTGGTTAGCCAATCTAAACTAAATAGCTTGCCAGGGTTAGTGAGAGACTGTTCAAACAACTAAGGTGGAAAGCAATGAGGAAGACATCTGAGGTTTACTTCCGGCCTCCACAGAGCAAATGGGCATGTGCACCCCCTTCCCACGTACGTGAACACACACACACACACACACACACAACACAAAGTTCAAGGCCATCCTTAGCTAGCCTGGGGACTATATGAGACATTGTCACAAAACAACAACAAAAACCAAAACAAAGCAAAAAAAAACCCAACCAAACCTAAAAACAAAAACCAAGGTAGAAGCCAGGCATGGTGGCACATGCCTTTAAACCCAGCACTCAGGAGGCAGAGAAAGGAAGATCTATTTGAGTTCTAGGCCAGCCTGTTCTATATAGAGTTCCAGGACAACTAAAGGCTATATGGAGAGACCCTGTCCCATTACACAAAGAAAAGGTCAACCAAGCTCAGTTGGTAGAGTGTTTTGCCTATCGAGGGCCTGGATTCAATTCCCAGTACCACATAAACTGGCTGTGGTACTGAATATTCGTAATAGTTCCACTCATAAGGCTAGAAGTCCAAAGTCACCCTCAGCTACATAGTGAATTTGAGGCCAGCCTGGGCTCCATGGGACCTTATCACAAAAATGAAGTCTTTTAAAAAATTTAATGAAGCCAGGCAGTGGTGGTGCACGCCTTTGATCCCAGCACTCAGGAGGCAGAGGCAAGCGGATCTCTGTGAGTTCAAGGCTAGCCTGGTCTACAGAGTGAGTTCAGGAAAGGCACAAAGCTACACAGAGAAACCCTGCTTCAAAAAAACAAATATTTAATGAACACATAGTAAATACCACATATACATTTATTATTCTAAGAAGTTTATAAGGGAAATCTTATTATCCCCAGATTACAGGTGGGGACTCTAAGGCACAGATAGGTTAAATAACTTATCACTTCACCCAGCTTAGGAAGTAGTAGATTCAGGGGAGTCAAATCCTGGCAGTCTCGAACTGCAGTCCACACCCTCAGCCACATTCTATCCAAGATGTGCTCTCTCAGCTGTAGCCTAGTATTCAGATAAGGCCATTTGCCAGCCAAAAAGGGCTTCTTTATAAGCAAAGTAAAAGATATCTATTTCTAGAAACAGGACATCCTTGAGAATCCTTATTGTTGTTTAATGCAATATTTTTCATGTTAAACCTTCTGCATACTTACTTTATCATGTAACCATCTGTATTAGTTACTTTCTTCAGTTCCTTGATAAAATACAGGCCAAAGGCAACTTAAGGAAGGAAGGGTTGGGACTGGAGAGATGGCTTAGAGGATAAGTGCACTGGCTGCTCTTCCAGAGGTCCTGAGTTCAATTCCCAGCAACCACATGGTGGCTCACAACCATCTGTAATGGGATCTGGTGTCCTCTTCTGTCATGCTGACATTCATGCAGACAGAACTGTGTACATAAATAAATAAATCTTTTTCAAAAAAGAAGGAAGGTTGTATTGACCCCTGGCTTGAGCATGTAGTTCATCGTGGGGACAGGTGTAGCAGTAGATGTAGAGCAGTGGTTTTCAACCCTCCTAGTACTTCAACCTTAACTGTAACTTTGCTACTGTTATGAATCATAATATAAGTATCTGCTATGCAGGATATCTGATATTCGACCCCCAAGGGGTCACAGCCCACAGTTGATAACCCCTGATGTAGATAGTCACATGGAATCCACAGTCGGGAAGCAGAGACAGCTGAATCGAGTGCTCAGCTTTCTTTTTATTCAGGCCCTCACAGACATGCCCAGAGGTCCATTTTCTAAGTGATTTATTTCAGAGCCTGTCAAATTGACAACCACGTAACCATCACACCATCACAATAGGTTTTTGTTTTGTTTTGAGATAGGATCTTGCTGTGTGGCCCAAACTGGTTTGAAACTTGGAATCCCCTTGCCTCAGCCTTTCAAGTGCTGGAATTACATCCACGCACTACCATTCCCAGCAGACTGGTTTTGCTCGCCAGTTTCCACCTGACTCGAATTTCACAGAGGAGAAGACGTGGAGAAGTTAAGAAGCTTGTTCTTGCCCAGCAGAAACCTGGAGACCTTTCAGTGACTTCCTAGCAGCCCCCCACATTGAGTTGGTGGATGTTCTCCCCGGGCCCGCCACAACCCTCAGTGTCCCTTCCTCCCCAGGGCTTCAGGTGGAGTTCATCAATCCCATCTTTGAGTTCTCCAGAGCCATGAACGAACTGCAGCTCAACGATGCCGAGTTTGCCTTGCTCATCGCCATCAGCATCTTCTCTGCAGGTGCGGAGGAGGGGCAAGAGGGAAACTGAGTCAGAGACCTTCACCTAGGAGGGCCGTAGTGTGGAGGACCCTGCTGTGTTACTGTGGACGGGAGGTTGGGTGGGATGTGTCCCTATTTGGGAGTTATGATTTGGGGTATGGAACCAAGACCTCGGCCAGACCTGCTCCTCAACTTTGTTGGTGACCTACAGACCGGCCCAACGTGCAGGACCAGCTCCAGGTAGAGAGGCTGCAACACACGTATGTGGAGGCCCTGCACGCCTATGTCTCCATCAACCACCCCCACGTGAGTCTCCCCAGTGCCTTTTTCTTCTGCTCTTCGGGCCCCTTTTCAGATATCCACTTTCTTTCAGGACTCTTGCTTACACCTCGCATGGGCAGTTCTTTACCTTTCTTTCTCAAAACCTCCCTGCCCCGGCTCACCTTCTCTAGGGAAGAGCAGCAGCTAGACAGACTTCTTTCTTTCTTTCTCCTCTCTCTCTCTCTCTTTTCCAGGACCGACTGATGTTCCCACGGATGCTAATGAAGTTGGTGAGCCTCCGGACATTGAGCAGCGTCCATTCAGAGCAAGTGTTTGCGCTCCGCCTGCAGGACAAAAAGCTTCCCCCGCTGCTGTCTGAGATCTGGGATGTCCACGAATGACCGCGGCTCTTCCTCCATGTCCTCTGGGCTTTGGGAACACACGACTGAGGCTTACGGACTGCTTCCTAGAGGTGGAGCAGACTGAGGAGGGCAAACATTCCTGGGAGCTGGGCGAAGGAGATCCTTGCAGGGCATTAAAGGAGCGTCGAAGGGCTGGGTGTTTTGTGGCCGCTGGGCAGTTGGGGACCTCTACTAACGTAGTGCACATCTGAAGCCCTTATTGACCCAACCAAATAAACTAGCCAGGAAGGCCACTTTGCACAGGGTTCTTCAGGGCCCTGCCCATCTTGTCTCTACCACTTCCTGTTTTTCCCCATAGGGCCCCAAAGAAATTCTCCGCTATCATTCTGCAGCTTGGCTGTAACTGCCTCGGGGCTGTTTCACCAATAGGTCTGGCACTTGGAACAGAAAGGCCAAGATAGGGAAACCAGTTTCTGGATCCAGGGTAGAGGTGCTGCGGTGGAGGAAGCCTGTGTCCATTAAAACCTGCCTCCATATTCAGGAGAGGGACAAGAATCACAAGTGACAGCTTTTTTTGTTCACGAGGCCCGCGGCATAAGAGAAATGCTTAGGCTTTGGGGCACCTTCCCCTTTAATGACCAAGGCAGAAGCAGGTGCTCTTACTGTCTGGGGAGGAGCTGGAGCTTCAGCAATAACTCAGCAGTACACTTCACGTGTGCGTGTAACGTCTTACTTTTAACACTGGCATCTGACAAGGAGTACAGCCTTCAAGACCCCGGGCCGGGTAATACTTCCCTTCGGGCTCTGGGCCCTGGGGGACTCGAAGAAAAAGTCCCCGGAGGCTCGTGGAGGATGACCAGTGTCTGAGTTGTCAAAAGGCTTGGACTCCATTTCCCAGCGGGCATCGCGGCACCGTTCCCGCTTCCCCCCTACCTTGGTGTAGGTGATACCTGGCAGCGCCAGCCTGAATGCCCCCGCCATTCAGAATTGGTAGAGTCCAGCGGCCGACTAGTTGGCTTTCCTGCCGGGGCGGCTGGGCACGTCCAAACAGCGTGCAGGGGGGGCCAGATGAGGTTTGAAGAAACTGTCAGAAAGTCTTAGGGGCAGTTGATTTTACCAAGTACCTTCACGTTAACCACTGTTTCGTCAAGACGGGCTCCATAACCAAGTCGAATTAAAAGCTGTCTGAGCAACCAAAACAAAACGTGTTCCTTTGGGTCCTCCCCTCGGCACCTCCCGGCACTGGGCTAGCCCAGTGCTTCCCATCGCGTTCCCACTCCCACAGCGATAGGTGTGTGCGTAGCCGCCTTCCTCCCCGCGCTTCCCCGGTGCGCTGCTTCCCCGGGCTGCGAATGGTACGGCCCCGGCCCCCTCGGCCTCCCCCTCCGCCATCGGGTCGGAGTGGTACGCGCCCCCCCGGTGCAGACGCGGAACTGGCGCCCGCTCGCCGCGGCGCCGGGCTCGGAAGCCAAGGGCGCTCGGCGGCGGGGAGACGTCAGGCGGGCCTGACAGGTTCCTGTGAGCTGGGGAGGTGGGGAAGTGCGCGCCGTGGGGAGCCCTGGGGGGGGTCTGGGAGGGAAAGCGGCCGCAGAGGGAAGGGTCTCGGAGGCGGCCCCGGAGGAGCGAGCGCGAGGGGGCGTGGAGCCTGCTGAGAAAGTGAGGCGGGGGGCCGAGGCGGGGCGCCCGCGCTGCCCAGGGGCTGCGGGCTGGCGCTCGGCTCCGCTCCGGTGCGGCGGGCGAGGCGGGTTCCCGGGTGGGGGCGAGGAGCTGTCCAGCAGGTGAGGGGGCGGGCAGAGCTGTCCAGCCCCGGGCCCGAGGAAGGCACCGGCGCCTGGCGTCTGTGCGCCTGCGTGCGCACGCCTGAATTTTGATTAGCGTTCGGAGAACCACGTTTGGCTCGCTAATAGATACATATATATTTACATTCCGTTCTTCAGTATTGACTCGCTGAAGACTAGGCGCACCATTTCATCTCTGCTGCAACTGCGCCCCTCTCCATCCTCCCGCAGCTCCATTCTTCTTCCTCGTGCTCTCTCCTCCTTCCTCAGTCCTAGCCATCCCTGGCTTGCTTGCTCCAGTTCTCCCCCACGCTGGACCAGTCTGCTGATGAGCTTGCAAGGTCACTGCCTGGGGAGGAAGGAGGAAGGGGAGGAAGCCTCCCGTTTGGCTCACGTCAGCGAAGATATCATATCGTTCTTGGGTCGGGTTCCTGTGGTTTTCAGTATGAGATCCTGCCCCAAATGAGGGACGAACCCACAGGGTTCGGTGGTAGGGCCATTGTAGGCTGAAAAGGCATAGATTACCTAAAGGTGTGCGGATTCTAGCCGTGGGTGCTGATGTAGGAGTATAGCAAAAGCAAAAACATTTAGAGTTTTGGACTGCAGTGGGACAGGAGCTAGGGACTCCACATTAGTAAATAAAATTGAAGCAAGAGCCAGAGTCTGAGCCTGATGGGTTATGAAGACTACATGAGTTATAGGTGTTGTTAGAGGATTTAGCGTCTGTGGGGAAGACAGAGAAGGAGAACAGCCTTGATTATCTCTGGAGTCTGAGTATCTAAAGTCAGTGGCTATAGATGGGATAGGAATTAAGGCTAAAAATATCCTACCACTGCTAGCTAGGGTAGTCCCAAGATCTCGGGTTATTGAAACTCTGAAAGGAGATGAAGAGTGTAGAATATGGCAATTGGCTTGAGTTGGGAGAGGAGCATCCTCTCACTAATATGAGGAAGGCCCCTGAAACTAATTTCCTAGCGGGAGGAAGCTTCAGCACCACTTTTGGGATTTTAGCCAGAAGATGCTTCCAGTTTTCAGTGTAGACCTTCACAAGGGCTCAGCCTACAGCTGAGGTCCTACAATTCTGGCTTATGATAAGGTGCTGGAAACAAGTCTTGTTTGTAGCTAGATTTTCCTATGTAGAACACACGACTTCCCCCTGTATCCCGTTCTATAGCTTTGTTTCTCTCTTTCATTTCTCTTCGGAGAAGGGGAGCTCAGCTCTATAAAGGGCGCCTTGCTTCTGCAGTATGCTCATGGCAATGATAGTTGGGGGAATCCAAGGACTGTTTGGGGTTAAGAGTGATGAACCCCGGAAATGACTGAATGTGTGGCATGCTCAGAAAGTGGTGGTGAAGAGAGAGCTCTTTCTATTAAAAGCTGCAAGTGGGACTTAAAACATTAACACACACACACACACACACACACACATACACACACAGAAGTGAAGATAACCTGATTCTTAGTAGAGGCTGTCAATGGACTAAGAGTCTCCAGAGTTAGGAGGAATGAACTGTTATGGGCCATGGCTGACTCTGGAGTAGCAGCTGCAAGCACCGTTCATTCGGTCACCAAGCAGGGGAGGGCCTATGGCTCTGCTATAAATAGTGCTGGGAGCCAGAGTCGCTATGGAGACAAAACTGAATCCTATTACCTATGGGTCCTGTATTGGGAGCAAGGAGGAAAGAGGGGAGAGCATTTTGAGGACACCAAGGGTATTGTAAATAGGTCTTGTTTATGGGTAGAGGAGGTAAAAAGAACTCATCGCCTAAATCAAATAGTGCCCTCAGGCAGAGTCTATGTCTGCAATACGGGAGTGTGCACAGCAAGTGGAGTGGAGTGTTTAGGTGTGTGTGGTAGTGTAATAGGAGTGTGTCTGTGTGTGTGCATACAGTGAACATGGTCTCAGTGTAGCCATAGAAGCAAAATCTTGGAGCATTGGAAATACCCTATACTGGAGCAAAACATTTTGTTTAGAGTCTGTGGAAATCTGATAGGAAATATAGATTCATTAAAAGTGTATTTGTTTATTTTGTGTGTGTAAGTGCACTCTGTGGGCGCAATGCTGAGAAGAGCGAGTTTCCCTGGAGCTAGAGTCACAGGCAGTTATGAGCCACCCAACGCAGCTACTCGAGACTGAGCCTGGGTCTTCTGAAAGAGCCACACACGAGTCGTTTCTCTGGCTCCAGCAAAGAATCATTGATTTTTAATATGTTTAGAAATTCCCTTGAACACCCCTCCCCCCGTACTTGCCGAAACCCTGGTATTTTCAGTCCCTCATTTGTAATCTCTTCAAGACCGAGAAAGATCAGGCCTCCCGGGAACATACTGTTTCACTGACTCTGATCCCAAGAGCAGACCAGACAAGAGCTTGTAGTTCAGCACCAAGGGCAGAGGTAATAGCAATAGCTGCTGCCCCCTTTCTACCTTGACCTGGGAAGACTGGTCTGAGATGAGCCAGTTGGGACATGGACATTTTTCATGGGAGATCACATGAGCTAGAATACCCAGATATTGTTACTGTCTGAGTGCAATTAACTGGAAAGTCTATATGAGAGTTACACATCAAGCTGAAAGCTGCCTAGTGAGACAGAATAATTAGGTTTCCATCTAGACAGAAAAGCACAGATTAGTGCTATTCAAAGAGTCTGGTTTGATCTTGATCACCCCTGGAGTAGTCCTGAAAGCGACTTTTTTTGTTATCATAATTATTCAGTCTAGATTAGACTGTCTAGGTCTGTTTTTCAGAAGCAGAGCCCTGGAACACGGCTGGAAATGAGCTAGTTAGTACTGAGCTGTTATTTCTCCAGCTCTTCTTCCTTCTCCTTGTCGTGGTGCTAAGGATGGAAACCAGGGCATTGTCCATACTAGATAAGGGCTCGACCACTAAGCTACACCCTCAACCCCTATTCTACTTGAAATCTGACTCCCGGAGTCTGTTTGGCTCTGGGAGCCCACAAACCTAGACAGCCACCAGTCTAAGCAAGTGTCAGATTCTCTCCTGAGTGCTGAAGTGGAAGGCCTGACCTGGGCCCCTGGCGGGGAGGAAACCGAGAGGGATGATTCCCTTAGGCAGAGCGATGCATATTTATCAGTACTCTTCCCCTGTTGGATTTTCAGATTCTATCAGAATTCCTCCTGGGAGTGCTGACTTCTTGCTCAGTGCCCCGAAGTTTCTCTGCAAT